TTTAATATCCTGTTGATATTAGATATGAAAAACGTCTTTATTCTTAATTTAACTATTAATTATTATTGATTATTATTATTAATTTGGTGTCACACAACACATAATTAAAATATATTTAATATAAAAAAAATGATTTTTCGTTTTGTTATTCAGCACCATTATTAAATTGGGAATTATACATATCAGCCACCTAATTTATAAATAATAATAATAATAATAGTTAACATATATATATATGTCTTCTTATTATATATAATGAATATTAAAATATTTTACTTGATCATTAGTAGTTGCTTCTTCAGGTTTCTTATCAGTTCTTATTCTAACAAAACGTGGAAAACGTAATGAAACACCTTTAGATGGATCAGCCTAAAACATCAAAATATATAATCTTAATAATTATTTTTAGATGATATTATAATAAGAAAAAAAGTGTATAACTTTACTTGTCCTATTGCAGCTTTATATATAGGAGATTTACTAATATCTGCTGCTTTTATTTCCCAGACTTGACAAGGTTCAAACCAAACATCAGGTTTAGTTGCTTTATCATAATTATAATAACTTTTAGCTCCTTCAATTTCATGTTCCTTAAGGAATTTGTAATGAGTTTCTAAATCTGCATCAGAAAATCCTGTACCAAGCTTACAAATTGTTTGGTACTCTTCATTATCTGGATCAAAGCATGCAAGAAGAAAAGTTCCATAAAAATTGGTACGTTTTCCTCTTCCATAATCTGCACCAATAACCACAAGGTCCAAAGAATCTCCTGTTCCTGTAATATAGTCTTTTTTAAGCTAATACAATAATAACAATAACAATAATAATTATTAAAAATCTAAATAAATATTATATACATCTATATCTATATATGTATATATTACTTTTAACCAATTCCTTGACCGTTTAGAAGGTTCATAAGATGATTCAGATCCTTCATAAATTTTTATCATCAAACCTTCACAATTATTTTTAACACTCTCATCAAGAAATGATTGGATTTCCTCAGTGTTAGTTGCAATAATTTCATGTGCAAAGGCAAATTCTCCTTTGATTTCTTGAAAAGAATTATACAATAGTTCACGCCTTTCAATTAATGGTTTCTTGAGAAGTGACTGTTTACAATGGTAATATGAATTTATATTTGAGAAAAATTGAATCTAATCATTACTATTATAAATCTGATAATAATAAAATTAGTCATACCTCTCCATTTAGATATAATAGGTCAAATGCAAACAAACAAACTTTGACTTTTATGTCTGATCCTTTAACATCTTTTCTTTTCCTTGTACTTAACACTTGAAAAGGAAGAAGACAATCTTTTTCTAGATCCCATGCAACAACTTCACAATCAAGTATAAAAGATTTTATACCATGTTTTACAAACTGCAACAGATATTAAAGAAAATTGTTAAAAAAAATTTTATAATAATGACCTAATACAATAATAGTAATATAAGCAATTGAAATTACCTTAGACAATTTCTCAATTATATCAGGAAATTTCACAGAATTGTCTTCCAAATTTCTACTATAAATTTTTGCAGAACCATCATCCAATTTATGAATCTATTATATCAAAATAACATGCTAAATTAGATATAATATAATATGATTTTTATCTATCTATATATGTAAAAAAGTTAAAGACAATGATTGTAATTATTATTGCTACTATTATTATTAAATTACTAACCTGAGCACGTTCACCATCATATTTAAATTCACAAGTAAACTTATGTCCTTCAACACGATCAAGTACTTCTGTTATACTTTTAGTTGGAAATGCCAACATAGGTTTAAGTGGAATTCCTTTTTTATTATTATAAAAAAGTTTTAATAAAAACTAACATGGCATTTTGCAATTTCAATATATATATATATATATATATATATATGCATGTGTATAAATCTATATATTTATATACCTGGTGTCAATTTACAATGCTCTTCAAGTCCTTGTATCCCATGTTTTAGCAAGATTGGGACCATAATATCATAAGATGGAATTTCACTTTTTACAAAAAAAAAGTTTTTTAAAAGTAATTAAGTTGATATGTTGATAATTTTATAAAAATAATATATATATAAACCTATAAACAGCTTTAACAATGATTGGGGCATCTGCTAATAATTGAATTTTGGTAGGTGTAGGTAATTTTTCATATCCTAATAAATAGATAACATTAATATTCAAAGAAAATAATGTCAACAATAATGTAATTGCAGAGCAATATATTATTTATTAATTAACCTGGATCCTTATAAACAATTGCTTGTGCTAGTGAAATTAAAATGGTTTGTGCTGCTAATCCAATCCTAAGTTTTCCTTCAAGAGACCTGATTAAATATTTGGATTCTTCACCTTGGCAAGAAGCAAGCAATTGTCTGATTTCTCGAACTTTTCTTTCTTGCGACTAAACAGAAAGCAATGGATATTAATTTGGTAATAAATTAGAATAACCATAATAATAAATAATTACATCTTGCCCATTCATATGTGCAATCTTTTTCATAGATTTTAAGACTGATGGAATAGTTAATGGTTTTGGAGCATACAATGTTGGTTGAGTACTTTTACTATCCTAAAACCATAGAGAATGTATAAAATTTAAATTTAAGAGTTTAAATATACAACTGATTTAATTTAATTATTATTATCAATTATTATTAACCTTTGCCACTTTTCCTAAGTCACCCCATTTTGCCAACTCTTCTTTGATTGCTTGAGTTTTTCTACCAGTAGTATCTGCAATTACTTTAATTAATAAAGATTCACCAATACCTAATTCAACATTTTCATAATCTGGACCCACCTTTTTTTTTTTTAATAAAAAATTTATAGTAAGAATCAAAAAAAGATTTACCATTAGCGAGTAATGAGTCATTATAAATAACTTACTCGATTGATACACAAATATAATGAGTCTAACAAATTTTCTGGAGTATTTTCAATAATAAGCGCAAAGAGAGTAACCAAATAATCTTGTTTTTCTAGACGTTTGGTAGTTGATTCAACCATTTCAAAAGTTTTGCATAATACAGAATAAGGCACACTAATATTATGTGTTCATTTTAGAATAATGTTAAAGATTCAGCAAGCTATATATTATTAATTATAATTCAATGTGATTGATAATCTTAACAATATCTTACGGATCTCCTTTCTTCCAGTTCACACCCAAGTCTTTCCTAAAATTGATTTATTATTTAATTGCCTTCTTGTAATAGTTCATTAATTGACAACTCCTTTGTAAATGGCAGTAAAAAATTCCAAACTGACATAAGAAGAAAAAAGTTTTTCACATGATACCATATGGTTACTTACAATTCAATAAGCCTTTTTTTTGTTTCGATTTTTTCTTTTTGCTCTTCCTCTTCTGCTTCTTCCTCTTCTGCTTCTTCCTCTTCTGCTTCTTCCTCTTCTGCCTTTTCCTCTTCTGTTTCTTCTTCTGCTTCTGGCTCTGGTTCTTTTATTTCTTCTTTTGCTGATTCATTCTCTATTCTTTTTTTTGCTTTATCTATTTTTCCTTTGTCCTTTTCCTCTTCTAATTCTGATTCTTTTCTTTCCTTATCCACTCCCTCTTCCTCTTTTACCTTTTCGTCATCAACATCCATGTCTTAATTTTGCCTGTAAGAAAAGAAGTACTTGATGGTGTATTG